TTGTTTCCCCAGGTAGGATGGACCCCCTGGGGTGTGGCCGCCATTGGCCGGTTGGGTGGCAGAGTGATTGATGCGGACCACGGACAGCACCAGAGCAGCGCCGGGATGTATCAACGATTCTGCAATACACGCTCCCGTCCCAAGTCCCCCCCAGAAGTCCTTAGAGGTATTCATTACCACCGCTGGATGCGCCCCCCGTGATTGGACTGACGAGCGCCCGGTGTGCCTACCGCGCTGGTGGGGCCCCGTGTTGTAAACGATTCCTTTCCCAGCAAAACCGCAGAAAAAAAGGTAAGATGATGCCGTCCAAGGACGTGTCCAGCGGCAGCCCCGTGCAGGAAAGGATCAGACCTCCACCCGTGTACTCCAGATTTCGTAATAAAAGGGAGGGGGTCTGGACCCTCCAAGACAAGCCATTTCAGACCTCCCCCGTGGGAGAACCCTCCAAAACATCGTCCCCAGACCCCCCCAGGCCCTCCAAGATGGCCTGGAAGAGACCCCCCCCGAAATGAGACCCCCCTCCCTTCATTACGAAATCTGGAGTTAGTATTGCCACAATTCTAAACTTCGGGTGACAAATCGGCGGAGGTCTCAAGCAGGAGCCCCGTTTTGAACAGGGCTCGCCTTCTATCTGCAGGATTGCTGCACAGTTTGGAGTGTCGTGCCGCAGAACCCGAGGAAGTCTTGAGCGAGAACTGCATATTGGCAGCGTGCCACCGTCCATGTTTATGACTGTTGTAAGCTTGCAAGACGAATGCGCGCAGCGCTAATGCGAGAGCCGCGCCGACAAGGAACAGTCTATTTCCGTGCCGCGCCCAGCACGCGCGCCTGGCGCGCCCTGGCCGCTCCAAAACAGCGGTGTGCGCGGGTTCTTACCCCCAGCCCTGCCAGCCCCGTCTTCTCAGCCCCCCCTACCCAGGAAACGATCGAGCTTTGGATAGATTCCTCTCGCTTCGCGGGGTGCACGTCCGGAGTACGTACAGTGAAGTCGTTTTGGGGGTTCTCGGGAGTTTCGTGGGGGCGTCTTGGGCCGTCTTGGGGGGCTCTTTCGCAGTTTCATGGGCGCCGCCGTGACCAATTTCTACCTGGCTGGCGCTGCGCCGCACTTCGCCCAGGGGTGAGAAATGACAGTGCACTCCAGTCGCTGTGTGGGCTTTGGGGGGCTTCTATGGGGCCTTTTGGAGACTTCTTGGAGGCTTCTTGGAGGCCTCTTGGGGGCTTCTTGGGGCCCCTTGGGGACCTCTTGGGGGCCTCTTGGGGCCTCTTGGGGGCGTCCTGGGCCGTCTTGGAGCGTTTTTCTGCCGTTTCGCTCCTTCGGAGGCCGTCTTGGGGGCCTCTCGCGGCCGCCTTGGGGCCCTCTTGGGGTCTTCTTGGGCCGTCTGAGGGGCCTCTTGGACCGTCTTGGGGGCCTCTTTGGGCCGTCTTGGGGGCCGTCTTGGGGCCCTCTTGGGGACTTTTTGGGTTGTTCTGGGGCGATTTTGGAAGCTGTTTGGGCCGCAAAGGCGAGAACGCTGAGCTATCGCGGCTTTTTGGGCCCTCTTGGGCCCATCTTGAGCCGTCTTGTCGAGGGCCCCCCAAGAGGCCCAAGAGGTCGAAATCATAGATTTTGTATACGTTTTGGTAGGTTTTTGAGTCCCAGGAGTGGGTCGCCACTTTCGGTCGACGGATGTGGCGCAGCCCCTGGGGGGGGGTTAGGGGGGAGACATAATTATGTAACGCAACACAATATGTTGCAAGTATGCAATCTTTAGATACATTGGATACGTTGCATTAAGGCGTTCGCCGGAAAACGCTGCCGCTCAGCACGTCACCTCCGGACGTGGATTCCTTTCGCTTCGCGGGGTGCACGTCCAGAGCACGTACAGTCACGGCGTCGCGGGGCCTCTTGGGAACCTCCTGGGGGCCTGGAGGCCTCTTGGGAGCTTCTTTGGCCCTTTTGGGGACTTTTTGGGGGCCTCTCCCCCCCCCCCCTCTTTTTCATACTCCTTCCCCATCTTCCCTTCCAGCGCCGGCTCTAATCATGGGCGCCACCGTGACCAACTTCCACCTGGCTGGCGCTGCGCCGCAGTTCGCCCAGGGGGGGATAACATTACACTCCAGTCGTTGTGTGGCCTTGTGGGGCTTCTTTGAGGCCTCTTGGAGGCTTCTTGGGGACTTCTTGGAGGCCTCTTGGGTTTTTTGGGGGGCCCCTTGGGGGCCGCTTGGGGGCCTCTCGGGGCCTCGTCTTGGGCCGTCTTGGGGCGTTTTTGCGCCGTTCCGCCCCTTCGGAGGCCGTCTTGGGGGCCTCTCGCGGCCGCCTTGGGATTCTTTTAGGGTCCTCTTGGGCCGTCTCAGGGTTTTTTTTTGACCGCCTTGGGGGCTTTTCTGGGCCGTCTTGAGGCCCTCCTCGGCCGTTCGGGGGCCCTCTTGCGGGCTTTTTGGGCCTTTTTGGGGCAATTTTGGCGGCTGCCTGGGCGGCCATGGGCTTCTGAGAGTCGAGAATGGCGAGAACGCTCGAATCATCAAAAAGCTATAGGAAAATTAATGGTTGTGGCCTCTGGAGGCACTCTTGGGGGTCGTCTTGGGGCCTTCTTGGGACGTCTTAGAAGTTTCTTGGGCCCTTTTGAAGCCATCGTGGACCGTCTTGGAGCCGTCTTGGCCCGTCTTGAAGCCATATGGAGCCATCTTGAGGCCCTATCGGGCCTCCCAGAGGGCCCAAAGTCCCGAATCATCGATATTACATAGGTTTTGGTACGTTTTTGAGCCCCAAATGGGGGTGGCCACTTTGGGCCGACGGATGTGGCGTAGCCCCTGGGGGGGGTTAGGGGGGAGACATAATAATGTAACACAGCACAACATGTGGCAATTATGCACTCATTGGATACATAGGATACGTTGCATTAAGGCGTTCGCCGGAAAACGCTGCCGCTCAGCCCGTCACCTTCCGGAAGTGGATTCCTCTCGCTTCGCGGGGTGCACGACCGGAGCACGTAGCGATTGGGCGTCGGGTGGTTTGCAATGCGGGTCTGCGTCGCTGGTTTGCCGCGTCGTCTTCAAGAGGGGCGGTGGATGCGCCCCCACCCTTTCAGCGCCAAACTTGGATACATTGGATACGTTGTGTTATACATCCGTAGGCAACGCTGCTGCTTAACACGTCACTTCTGGACGTGGATTCCTTTCGCTTGGCGGGGTGCTCGCCAGGGCCGCGTACAGTCCAGCTGTGGGACCTTTTTGGAACCTCTTGGGGCCTTCTTGAGGGTCTCTTGGGGGCTTTTTTGTGGCCACCAGAGGGTTTCTTCGGGGCCTCTTGGGGGCGTCTTGGGCCTTCTTGGGGCGCTCTCGCGCGGTGTAGCTCCTGCGGAGGCCGTCTTGGTGGCCTCGGGGCCGCCTTGAGGCTCTGTGGGGGTCCTCTTGGGCCGTCTTGGCGGCCTCTTGGACGGTCAGGGCCCCCTGAGAGTCGACAAATGCGAGAACGCTTAAATCTTTAAAGAACCATACGACAATCAATCAGTGTGGCTCCGCCTCCTCCTCCTCCTCCTCCTCCTCCTCCTCCTCCTCTTCCGCGTCGTCCTCTTACTGTGGTTCGGACCGGGACGGGGAGCTAAATCACTGTCATCGTGAGGGGGGGAGTTGGCCACGAAGCGATTCGTCCCTTTGTGTTGCTTGAGTATCTTTTTTCGTTTCAATGTCTTCCCTTCCCCTTTTTATTTCATGTACGTCGTTTATGTTGCTTATAGTTTTCTATGTGTTTGCGGTTTTCTGTATCTCTCAATATATGTTTATGTGTCTACACATATTTATATGTATGTGTGCATGTGTATGTGCATGCATACATGCATGTATGCATACATGCTTACATACACGCATACATGCATGCATGCACACAAGTACATTCATGCATACATACATGCATACGCACATACATACAAACAGCACACAATCAAACAAACACATATACATTTATACAGACATGCATCCATACATGCATGCATGCATGCATGCATGCATGCATACATGTGTGTATGTGCTTGCATGTTTGCATGCATGTGAACATGTAAAAATGCGCATCGACGCGTATATGTCTATATACATGCACACACACAAGCGTACATCATATACTTGCATGTGCACATCTACATACGGCCAGCTAGTGGGTTGAACAGAAAGCGAAGCCGACCGAATGCCTTTTGGCCCAAAGGGGGGTCGCCCAGCTGGCCGCCCAGGCCATGGCCGGAGATGCCCGCGGGAGGCCCTGCGGCGGCTGCGGCGGTGGCGACGTGTCCCCAGGGCTCAGCCCGCGCCTCGTGATCTCACTTGGCCATGAGGATGCGGCGGCCCGCCTCCTGGAGGACGCCGCGGGCGGGACGCATGCCCGTATCCCGCCAACTCGCGGCCTGGACTCCCCAGGGCCGCGGCCCCACGGGACACGGGCCAGCTTCGCGCGGATTCCCCTTGCGCGAGGCGCGTCCACGGGATCGCGCCCAGCGTCCAGACCGCGAGGGCATGGATATGACATGGCCGCCGCCCGCGAGGACGCGGCGGAACCCCTCACCCCCGAGTTCGGCTCCGCCGCGAGCGAGGCGTACGAGTCCAGCAGCGCCGCGTCCTCCGACTCCGCGCTGCAGAGCGCCGCCGCTCCGACCCCCCTGGAGCTGTCGGAGCTGCCGCCGACCGGGCGCCCCCAGCCAGCGCGCTGGCCCCGCGCCGTGGCCGGCCTGGAAGAGCTGAGCCGCCACCACGAAGGCCCCCCCCCCCGAGCGGAGCAGGCCGCGCAGTGCCACGGCGGGCTCCAGCCACAAGCCGACGGCTGCGGCCCCCGCGCCGCGGACGCCCTCAGCCCCGCCGCCGAGGGCGCCTGCCGCGTGCGGCTCAGCGGCGAGGAGGCCGCGGCGCCGGAGGCCCCAGCTGCCTCGGCGGCGCCTGTGGGCGAGCAGACGCCAGAGGCCGGCGGCGGCGGCAGCGCCAGCGGGGCCCGCGGCGGCGCGGTCGAGGCCGCCTCTGCGGAGGCCGCCTTCTCGGAGGCCGCGGCAGGCTCCGCTCGGCCCGTGAGCCCCGCCGAAGCCGCCGCATGCGAAGAGGGCGCCCGCGGCGGGCTCGGCCACGAGGTGGGCGGCGGCTTGGCGCCGGCAGGCGTGGGGGCGGTGCCCGGCGGCGGCAGCGACCGCGCAGAGGGCGCGGCCTGCGCAGCAGAGGGCGCCGGCGTGGCCTGCGGGGCGGCCGAGTGCCCCTCCGCAGAGGAGGCCCGCGGCGAGGCGGCCGGCGAGGCCGGGCACCCGGAAGCGGAGGCGGAGGAGGGCGGCGGCGGCGAGGAGAAGCAGGAGGCCGCTGCCGCCCGAGGCGCCAGGGGGCTGACCCAGCAGGAGGGCGCGGGCGGGCGCGGCGGCGAGGCGCTGGAGCCGCCAGGCCTCGACGAGGCGGCCCTGGCCGGCTCGGCGGGCGCCGCCGAAGGCGCGGCGCCGAAGGCAGCGCACGGCGGGCCGAAGACGGGCGAGGCCGCCGACGACGAGCGGCCTGCGCGCGACGAGGGCGCAGGCCGCAGCGCGCCCGCGCAGCTGTGGGGCCCTGGCCCTGCTGGCGCGCGCGGGCAGGGCGGCGAGGCACCCGACGAGCGGCCAGCGCCCGGCGGTGGCGACAGCAGCCTCGCCGAGAGCGCGCCCGCGGAGCTGCCGGGCCCGGAAGAGGCCCCAGGCGCAGCGGGCACCGCCCAGGGCGCGGTCCGGAAGGGCGCGCGCGGGCGGGAGGCGAGCGAGGCAAGCGAGGGGCCTGCGCCGGACGAGGGCGCGAGCCTGCTGGAGAGCGCGCCCGAGCAGGACGCGGCTTCTATCATTCTGCGCGCGCGGTATGTCCTCGAAGAGGAGCAGCAGCAGAAGCAGCCGCGTAGGCTTTCGGAGGCCCGCGCGGATCTCTTGCATCGGTGCTGGGCCCCCCTGGCGGCGCCTCCGGCGCTGCCCCTGGCGCGCTCCGCGCGATGGCCCAACGCCGATCCAAGAAATCCGCGGGGGCCTCGAAAAGTTCAATGTTTATGAAGGTGTTTCTTGTGCTGTTCTCGTGCCGCGTCGGCTCCGCGGCGATTTCGGCGTGGGAGCTCGAGGCTGAGCGCATCGGCGGGCATCGAGCGATCTGCGCTGCCAGTTGCCCTGATCGTTCAAGGCTGAGCAAGCGGAACTGGAGCCGACGTCCGGAGGTTTTCTCTGAAGGACTTAGGCGACTCGTCCTCCTCCCTTCTCCTCCTCCTCCTCCTTCTCCTCTTCCTCCTCCTCCTCCTCCACCCTCCTCCTCCTCCTCCTCCTCCTCCTCCTCCTCCTCCTCCTCCATCTCCATGTCCATCTCTATCTCTAACTCCTCCTCCGCCTCCTCCTCCTCTCTTCCTCCTGCTCCTCCTCTTCCTCCTCCCTGCTCCTCCTCCTCCTCCTCCTCCTCCTCCTCCTCCTCTCTCCTCCGCCTCCTCCTCCTCCTCCTCTTCCTCCTCCTCCTCCTCCTCCTCCTCTCCTTCTCCTTCATCTCCTCCTCCATCTCCTCCTTCATCTCCTCCTCCATCTCGTCCTCCTCCTCCTCCACCTCCTCCTCCTCCTTCTCTTCCCCCTCCTCACCCTCCCCTCCTCGGGTCGCCTACGGTCCCGGGAGAAACCGTCCACCGACGTCCTCGTGGCGAAAGACGCTGCCGCAGTGTTCACTCCAGGCGGTCTGCCCCGCGTGAGATCGCGGCGCTCGCGTGAGCTCTCGCGCCCCGCGGCGGGTCCAGTCGCCCCGGCGCCGCAATCCCGCGTTCCCGCCCGCGGGGCGGTGGTCCCGGGGCCTGCTGGCGCCCACAGGCCTTGTGCGGTTAGGCTCGGGGCGTCTCGACGCGGGTGGGGCGGATCTGTATTCCAGGCGTTCGCGGTGGGCGTTCTTGGCAGTCCTCGGCGGTTTTCCAGCCTCGGGATGCTTCCCATCAGCTACGACTCGCCGAGAGCGCTCCAGGGGTGCCGGCATCGTCCCGAACGGCCGCCGGATACCCGAGTTCTGACCCGACAGCCAGGACGATGGGGGCGTGTCTCGACGCGGCGGCGACCCTGGCGCGGGCGCTCGATGGAGAATGCCACTTGGAGGCTCGTCCACGGCGCAAAGTCCAATCGAAAAGTGGGGCCAAGCCCCTGGTCGGCATCACCCCAACATACTTATACTGTATGTGCGTCGCCCCCCCAGGGGCGACGCGCGCACCGAGAAATCTTATAGTATATGCGTCGCGGCGTGCGCTTTCTGGCCACACCGCTCGGGAAACGATATACTACAAGATGGGTATACTATATGCTTGGGTCGGACGCGCGCCTCCAAGGAGGACATATAGTATTAGTATGTCTCTGTGCGTCCCACCTGGGAACCTCTGGAGAGCGTTCATGGCGGAACGGTCCGCGTGGCGTCAGCCCGCAGCAAGGGCCCACGCCCCCAAGGCAGAGGAGCCTGCTGTTCACCACCCACCAAACCACCCCAACCCAACCCGAAGGCTCAGATTTACCCTCGATTTCCAGTGGGGGGGGGGTCCGGGAAATATCGAAAAAACACATGTGGAACCCTTACCCCCCCCAACCCGAAATTCGGGTCTTCGGGTTGGGTTGGAGTGGTCTGGTAGGTAGTCAGCTGTAGCCCTGCCGTGCGCACAGCTCCTGCCGTGTTCTTTCGTAGGCGCCGCGACGCTCTGGCTGGGGCCCTGCGGTGCTCGCGGGCATAGTTACCACTCCTCCTCCTCCTCCCCCCCTCCTCCTCCCTCCTCCTCCTCCTCCTCCTCCTCCTCCTCCTCCTCCTCCTCCTCCTCCTCCTCCTCCTCCTCCTCCTCCTCCTCCCTCCTCCTCCCCCTCCCCCTCCCCCTCACCCTCCACAATTACTCAATATGAATACTACTCTCCTCCTTCCCCTGTTGGGAGTGTTCGCCCCCCCCCCTGCGTACTGTTTTTTACACACAGGATTCCCCGTAGTTTGGTTTTCGCCTGCATTTTTGTCCAAAATGCTGCTCTTGCTGAGGCGCCGGCCTCATTTTCGGGCCCCGCTCGTTCCGAATCGTGCTCCCGCTGCAGCGCTGGCCTCATTTCCGTGCTTCCGATCGTTCCGAATCGTGCTCCCGCTACAGCGCTGGCCTCATTTCCGCGCTTCCGCTCGTTCCAACTCGTGCTCCTGCTGCAGCGCTGGCGTCGTTTCCCGTACCATGCCACGGCATGCAATGCAATGCTAGGTTGCGTTCCGTTGCGCGATGCCATGCCTTCAGCTGAAGCTGTGATATGCAGTGCTTAAGTGCCACGTCGTGCAATGCCATGCTACGCTTTGATCTTCAACGCCATGCTATGCAATGTTATGTTCGGGGCCGCTGTGCGATGCCATGCTTTGCGTTGCAAAACCTTGTGATGCAAGTCTTCACTACGCCACGCCACGCCATGCTGTGACATACTACGCTTTGCCGTGCTCTTCTACGCCATGCCATGCCGTGCTCTACAATGCATCGCGTACCCTTTCGGGATCATTGCCCTGCTCGACATCCGACTGTGCGAGTAGAGAGGGGATCTACGCCATGGTAAAGGATGGGAGGGAGGGGTAGGATGTCAGATATGACGCGAGCGCACCTAGCTTGCCCTCCTCCCCTCCCCCTCCCCCTACCCTTCCCTCTTTCTCCTCCCCTTTCTCCTCCTCCTCCTCCTCCTGCTCCTCCTCCTCCTCCTCCTCCTCCTCCTCCTCCTCCTCCTTCTCCTCCTCCCTCTCCTCCGCCTCCTCCTCCTCCTCCTCCTCCTCCTCCTGCTCCTCCTCCTCCCTCTCCTCTGCCTCCTCCTCCTACTCCTCCTCCTCATCAGCAGCATCATCACATCATAGCATCAGCCAGCATCAGCATCATCAGCCTCAGCATCATGATCATGATGATGATGATGATGATGATGTGATGATGATGATGATTGAGATAGATTGATGATGATGATAAGATGATATGATGATTATGATGATGATGCGATGATGAATGATGATGATGATGTGATGATGATGATGATGATCCTCATCATCAATGACCATCATCATCATCATCCATCATCACAGCATCATCCATCATCATCATCATCGTCATCCTCATCCTCATCCTCACAATTCATCATCCTCATCATCCTCATCACCTATCCCCATCTCATCCTCATCCTCATCCTCATCCTCATCCTCGTCCTCGTCCTCGTCCTCCTCCTCCCTCCTCCTCCTCCTCCTCCTCCTGCTCCTCCCTCCCCCTCCCCCTCCTCCTGCTCCTCCTCCTCCTCCTCCTTCTCCCACTCCTCCTTCCTCGTGCTCACAGGACCAAGGGCGCTCAGATACCTACAGGCCTGCAGGTGCTCACAGGCACGCACGGTGCTCACGGGTAGCTTCCATTGTGGTCCTGGGTGTCCCGCGGAATTGACGGGCACCGTTTGCAGGCATCGTGGTGCTCGTGCGTACGGTTTGGCTTTTAAGCCGGGTGGTGCCCACCAGCCTATCGATGGTCCTGGACTCATGGGGTGCTCACAGGCACACTGGTGGTAGTAGGCGTTGTAGTGGTAATAGCCCCTGTGGTGCTCACAGGTACGCTGGTGTTTACAGGCACACTCTTGCTCGTGAGCGTGGTAGTACTCTCACAAGTCTTGATGTGCCTGCGGTGCCCCACAGGCTAGCAAGTGCTCACTGGCAGCGTGATGCTCTCACGAGTTGTCACTAACTGTAGTGATCATTGGCGCCGAGGTGATCATATGCCCTTCCGTGCTCGCAGGCATTGCGATGCTCACATAAGCTATGGTGTTCACAGGCGCTGCGGTGCTTCTAACCTCTGTGGTGCTCTAGGGCGTGGTGCTGACAGGCACATTGATGTTCATAAACGTGTTGATGCTCACAAGCCTTGTCGTACTCCCGTCGGACCCCCTGGTGCATCCTCGTCCTCTTTTTCCATGCATTATGAGTGTAGTGTAGGTGACTGTGCTACCGCAGTGCGGTGTCGTGTCGGCTTTTCTGTGTTGATGTCCTGCTGCGCTGCTGTATTTCAAAGCGTCCGCAGTGCCGCGGTACTGTGCTTCCTACTCGCTCAGTGATGCACTGCTGCAGCTCGGCGTCACGTTCTATTGTACAACCCCTCAGCCTGGACTGTGGCGAGGGGCTGAGGAGGGGGGGGCACCACGCCGAGCTCAGAGCGTGGCCGGGCGCTTCGGCGCAAGCACCGCTCGTGAGCGGGAGCGCGGCCGGCGCAGACGCGAAAGTTGGGACCGCGGCGGGCGCTGAGGCCTGACCGCCGCTCCGGCCAGCGCTGAGGCCGCACCACAATTCCGAGCAGAGGGGTTGCGAGCTGCGCGAAGCTGCCCCCCCCCCCCCACACTTCTTTTCTTTTCCAGGCTGCCTCGTGGCCGCTGGCTGGGTCAGGGAGGGGGGGGGGGTCGTCGCGGCCGCGGCCTTTTTTGTTCGGAGGGCACCGACTATACACCTTCCCTGATCCTGGCCAGGCCGATCCTCGGCACTCGCCAGGCCCCCCCCCCCCCCGCCGCTCGGACAAAGGCCGCCGCGCGCCGCAGGACCGCTCCGCGGGAGCACCTCGCCCTGCCGCGGGGGAGGCGCCGACGAACGCATCGCGCTGCCCCGAGGCCGCGGCGGCTTCGGAGGCCCGCTGTGCACTGGAGCCCCTGGAGGACACGCCCGCAGCAGCGGCGCCCACGGGGCAAGGCCGCGCGCCCTCCCCGCCGCGCAGGGGCATCGGCGAGCTGCTGTCGATGGCCGAGGCCGGCGCCGAGAGCTTCTGGCTGGAAGAGGAGCTCGGCCCCGCGCCGAGGCAGGCGAGGACGGCGTGCGCCCAGGGCCTCGGCGCAGTGGCGGAGGCCGGCGCCGAGGCCACCTGCAGGCGGGAGGAGCTCGGCTCCACCCCGCTGGGAGGCGCCGCCAGGGCGCCGCGCGACCCTGCGCAGCGGACGCTCCCCCCGCCGCGCGGGGCCGACCCGGAGCGGGCCGCCCTCTGCGGCGCGGCGGCGCTGGACGTCATCTCCTCGGTGGTGGAGGAGCTGGAGAGGCTGAACGAGGAGTCAAGTGGGGGATCGGCTACGGAATTGGTTTGCCCCAGAGTAAGTTTTCACGCCGAGTCCATGGACCACGTGTGGAGTCTTCGTACATCTACCGGAGTTGTGCGCATTTTCTGTGGGTTCGACGAGAAAATCAATATCGGGGTAAATCAGTTCCGCAGTCGATCCCTTACTAGAAGGAGGGCCGCCGCGCAGCAGACGCGTGGCCGGTGCCAGCGCCGCCCTCCGCCAGCATGGCGGAGGCGGCCGTGGGCGAGCGCGAGCGGCCTGCGGGTGAGGCGGAGGGCCGCGAGGCGGAGGGCCGCGAGGAGGAGGAGGAGGAGGAGGAGGAGGAGGAGGAGGAGGAGGAGGAGGTCCCCTCCTCCGACGGCAGCGGGGCCGCCTGGGCGTCGGCGACTGGCCGCGCGCGCGGGCGCCTCAAGCGCGGGCGCCGCGGCTCCTCCGAGGGAGGAGCCGCGCTGGCGGTGCCACAGCAGCAGCAGCAGCAGCAGCAGCAGCAGCAGCAGCAGCAGCAGCAGCAGCAGCCGCAGCAGCAGCCGCAGCGGGATGGCGACGGCGGGTCAGGCGGCGAGGGCGGCGGCGGCGGCGAGGAGCCCACGCGCCCGCACACGGAGGCCCAGGCTGGCGAGGCGCCCGGCGCCGAGGCCGAGCTGCGGCTCGCGGCCGAGGGGGCGCTGACGCGCGCGTGGGACGCCGAGCGGCTGGCGCAGCTGGCGCGGGCGGAGCTGGAGGAGGAGGCCTCCAGGGCGGCGGCCTGGGCGCGGAGGGGCGGCGAGCTCGAGGAGGCGCGGGCGGCCGCCGCTCGCGACGCGGAGTCCCTGCGGGCCGAGCTGCGGTGCGCGGCACGGGCCGCGGAGGAGGAGCTCGCGCGGGCGGCGGGGCGCCTGGAGGGCGAGCGGTGCAAGTTGCGGCAGGCCCTCCTCGAATTCGGCGAGCGGGAGAGGCTGCTCGAGGCGCAGCGCGCCTGCGAGGAGGAGCCTCGGAGGAGGAGGAGGGGGAGGGGGAGGGGGCAAGCTAGGTGCGCTCGCGTCATATCTGACATCCTACCCCTCCCTCCCATCCCTTACCATGGCGCAGATCCCCTCTCTACTCGCTCAGTCGGATGTCGAGCAGGGCAATGATGGGTACGCGATGCATTGTAGAGCACGGCATGGCATGGCGTAGAAGAGCACCGCAAAGCGTAGTGTCAACCTAGCATTGCAGTGCATGCCGTGGCATGGCACGGGAAATGACGCCAGCGCTGCAGCGGGAGCAGGAGTCGAAACGAGCGGCAGCGCGGAAATGAGACCAGCGCTGCAGCGGGAGCACGATTCGGAACGAGCGGAAGCACGGAAATGAGGCCAGCGCTGCAGCGGGAGCACGATTCGGAACGAGCGGGGCCCGAAAATGAGGCCGGCGCCTCAGCGAGAGCAGCATTTTTAAAAAATGCAGGCGAAAACCCAATTCCCGGGAAATCAGTGTTTAAAACAGTACGCTGGGGGGGTCGGGCACACTCCCAAGTCGTCTACAGGGGAAGCGGGGAGAGTAGAATTCATCATTGGGTATAATTGTAAGGGAGGAGAGAAGGGAGGAGGAGGAGGCCAGGAGGAAGGAGGAGGAGGAGGAGGAGGAGGAGGAGGAGGAGGAGGAGGAGGACCAGTGTAAACCCAAGAGTCGCCAACGATGTCGGAGTAAACCCTCCCTCAAAGCTCCCTCTTCATAGGCCCCTACAGCGGTTCATTTCCATTGAGGGAACTGCCTCGTTGGAAGACAACCGTTCGAAGACCCTGAAGCATGCCAAAATGTTGTTCTCGGGATTCCAACGCCACGGATCAACCTGGCTCTTGCGCTTTGACGATCCTGAGTCATGCCAGAACACCATTCCAGGGACTTCAACACAGAACCAAAGTAGCTGTTGCACCCGCATAATCCTAAATCTTTCCAAAACACCATTTCTGGTACGTTGGTGATGGGAATCCGTGAAACTCTTGCTGCGCATGTTCAAAACGAATGTGCGCCGCGCTAAGGCGAGAGCCACACTTTGAAAAGGAGCCACCCTCAATCCGTGAAGCTCTCACAAATTGTTAAACCAAATGTGCTCCGCGCGAAGGCGAGCGCCACATTTTGAAAACGACCCGCCCTCAATCCGCGAAATTCTTGCAAATGTTTACAGCGACTCTGCGCCACGCTAAGGCGAGAGCCACATTTTGAATGCCATCCGCCCTCAATCCGTGAAGCTCTTCCATTTGTTCTGCGAACGTGCGCCTCGCTAAGGTGAGAGCCACATTTTGAAAACCACCCGCCCTCCATATGTGAAGCTGTTGCCAATTTTGAAGCTTCAGGGTCACAAATGGTGAGGAAGTCTCAGGGGAAACGCCCGGCCCGCCCTAAAAACTGGCCTTGGGGTGCGACAGGGTGAAGTTATCCAGAAGGAGAAAGGATGGACGGGGAGGAGGAGGAGGAGGAGGAGGAGGAGGAGGAGGAGAGGTAGAAGGAAGGAGAGAGCCTATGAGGAGGAGAAGGAGGAGAGGAGGGGGAGGAGAGGTGGAGGAGGACCAGTATAGATCGATGCCGCTGCTCTCCCTGGAGAGCCCTCGCCGGCACGGCCAGAGTCGCCGCGAGATTCTGGCGAGAGAGCGCACCCTGGGAGAGGCATGGGGAGCATCGGAGAAGGAACAACCGTATACGGTAGGTCAGTGTCGTGTCGACCAGCGGCGACCCCAGCGCGGGCGTTCAAGGTTGAACGCCGCCGGCGACCCAGAATCGATCGATGTTGAACGATCGGACGTTGCGGCAGCGGCCGAGCGTTCAAGGTTGAACGATCCCGCGCGGTGTCAGAAACCACGCCGGGGGTCGACATCGAAAAAGACGCGAACCTGCCGTAAACATTGCATTTTTCGAGGTTGGCGCGCGATGTCCTCGATCGGTGCTTGTGGGGGGGAAAAACCCCACCCCCCCTCCCTGTCCCGCGGAACGCGTCGGGGCCGGCGCTGGAGGCGCCGCCAGGGGGGCTCCAGCGCCGATCCAGGAATCCGCGCGGACCTCCGACAGTGTATGTTTATGTACTGAACTTCTTCCTCTTTGGTCAGAACCCGTGGTAAGGACACGCTAATTATTTCCGCAGGGGCACCCTTGCATCCTTCCCTCCTCGGCCAAGCCTTGGCCAGCTTCGACGTCCAAGGACGTCGAGCTTGGAACGTTTATTGGCTCTGCATCCTTGCCTTGCGTCCTCGCTGCTGGTTTCGCCTTATTCTAGGCTTCTATATGGGGCAGGAGGATCGCGCCGCATCGCCGATGCATCGGCGATGCATCGCCGATGCGGCTCGATGCGGCTCGATGCGGCGCCCGACTTGCTTCACGTCGATGTCGCCGATGCATCGCCGACGTCGACGACGTAATTATCGCCGACTCATCGCCGATACATCGCCGATACTGTCGCTCGTGTCTTCATTTTGCGCGTCCGTTTCTCCCTCCTCCTCCTCCACCTCCTCCTCCTCCTCCTCCTCCTCCTCCTCCTCCTCCATGGCTGACGCTTCGCATGGTGAAGTCCCCTTTCCATCAGTGGGAACGCTGGCAATTTTCATGATCCCCGTCTGGCGCTCATGAGGGGGAAACAAAACATCGCCGATGCACCGTCGATGCATCGACGATGCGGCGCGATCTTCCGACCCAATGTGCTCCGACCCCATCTAGGAGGCCTCCCAAGAGTGGAGGAGTCGCGGGTGTCGGTGTCTTCTTCACCACCCACCAAACCACCCCAACCCACGCCGAAGGCCTCAATTTGCCCTCCATTTCCAGTGGGGGGGGGGTCGGGGAACAGTGAAAAAACGGATAAGGAGCCCGTACCTCCCCCAACCCGAGACTGGGATCTGCGCGTTAGGTTGGGGTGGCCTGGTGAGTAGTCCTCCTCCCCCTCCTCCTCCTC